CTCTGCCTCCCAAGTGCTGCGATCAAAGGTGCCCTCTGCCAGTTCTATCTTTTGCACAATTTTATTAGGCAAATAGCATCCGTGAACTGATCAGCAAGTGAGTTCATTCGCTTCAGAGGATGAGGCAGCCTGCTCCGTCTGTAGAGCCTGAAACTCTTAATCTCAGGGTCCTGGGTTCGAGCCCCACGTTGGGCGCCATTATGTTGCTGTGTCTAGTAATTTTTATTATTAGCCTTATAATGAATACGGCAGTTACTGTATAACCCGATATTATAATCAATAAGACACCTGCTTAGGTTTTAGATTTGCCTTATTTCACCTTTGATAGGGCAGACAATGCCACCTACGCTATCTTGTATCCCTCAGCTCCCAGCCCCCACCATCTGCTTTAACCATTCCTGACTGAGTTGCCTCCCATCCATAATTCCATACATACTTGCTTATTCTTCATCTGGATCTCTCCATTGAACGTCTTTCTCGGAGTTCTTCCTCCGGGCCCACGTGGTTCCTTTTCCATGCTAACCCATCGTGGCTTCCTCTTCTTCCTGTCTGTCTCCTTCCCACGTTCCTCTTTGCCCTCCAAGCCTGAGAACCTTAGCCACAACCGCCCCATTTGCCCTGCCCAGGTGTGTTGGCTTTTCATTGGTCAAACAGGAGTACGTTTTCAGGCTAGGTTACAAACATCGTTTTGGGCCCGGATCTTGGGGGTCAGTAATTAGCATCAGGATATATAGTGCCAGACCAACCCCCAGCAGGAAGCCCTGGAGAAGAGAAAGCTGGCACAAAGCCTCGTGGAAGTGCAAGGGTATAGTCTGAGCAGTCGGGGGGTCACAGGAAGGAGTTCTGGTTTACTGTTCTCAGAGCACTGGGGGATGGACCTTGTTAAGCAGGAGTTGTGATTAACTGTGCAAACAGGCCTGCGGTTGCTGAGCAGACTCCAGGCTGCTGGGGAGTGGGGGTGCATCAGGAAGTAGATGTGTTTCCAGGGAGGCCAAGCGGAGGATGGTGAGGGAAGCATGGGGATAGCGGACAGGTGGGGAGTGGCTCCCACGGAGTAGAACAGGTGCGGCATCCGGGGAAGCCAGCAACGAGGTCACTTCCTGTTTCCAGTTTAAGCTGGCGGCTAGTGGCTCACACCTGCTCGGAGAAGCAAGCGAGTGACCTGTTCCCCCCCCCCCCCCCCCCCCCCCCCCCAATGTGTACCGGCAAGAAGCTGAGGTGTGGCGTGAAGCTGCCCGGGGTGGCATGTGGCGGAGTGGCTGTGCAGGATCCCAGCCTGCCTGCTCCTGAGGGCACAGCTCTCTCCCCTGACCCTGCGACTCGGCAGGGACAGTTATGCCAATATCCCAGAGCGATAGAAACGCTGCCAGCCCTAGAAGGCTCTCCGGGCGGGCGCCCTGGCAGAAGCGCTCACTGGGCCTGGCAAGGTTGTTTGGCGGGGAGACGGCACGGCCAGGCAGGGAATGAGTGGGATGTGGAGGCAGAGGTGGGTGCCAGAGGCCAGGTGCTCCTGGCCAGTCTCCCTTGACGACTTCCTCCTGTGACAGGTGGGGGAGGCAGACGTCTGATGTGCCAGTGGGATGGAAGGGCACAGGTGGCATTTCCCGTGTCCCTGGGAGAGCGCAGGTTCTGTGACATAGGGCACCTGGGCAGCCCCGGTGACTGGGACTCCGGAGGTCAAATCTGTCCCTTCCAGGGGTGTGAACTGGCACCTGCAGGATCAGTCGAATGTCCCAGGTTAGGTACCCAACAAAGGACCTGGCCAGTTATGTGAGGGGTCATCCCCTCATTGACTCCACTGCCCAGATGTTTGGCATGAGGTTGATTTTGAAAAATGAGGTGATGTCAGTGTGCTCTCCCGAGGCTCTGTGCGTCTGTCATTGGCTACCTGGTGTCAGTTCATCTGTCCCTAGCACCAGAGTCTGGTCTCACACTGGCTGCCCTCCTGCCTCAGCCTCCCAAGAGCCAGGCTCCCTCCCACCCACCGGCTCTTCCTTTCTTGCCGTGCTGGGGATTGAACCTGAGGCCTTCCACATGCTGAGTGAGTGCCCTGCCACGGAGCCATAACCCTTCGCTTTGTGTTCTTCTGAGATAGCTAAGTTGCCAGACTGCCTGCCACTGAACTCACTATGGAGCCCAAGCAGGCCGTGAACTTGTGACTTTCTTGCCTCAGCCTCACAGGTGGCTGGGATTACAGGCCTGGCCAGCCCGGCTTAACCTTTTCCTAACATTTGCAGCCTCGTGGCTTTCTCTGAGAATTGGATGACAACAACAGAACAAAACTGCAACACTCACGCACCAGCATCAGTCTGCTTAGTTTCAGGGGCCCATGGTCCCCGCTGAGGGCCCCGGGGCCCGGGATAGCTGAAGTACAGGCTGTTAGGACACCTTCTCAGCGGCAGCCGAGCGCAAGCTTAGCGCATCCGTGAGAGACCGGGGGATGCAGTTACCGTGCCCAGCGCTCAGGCAAGGGCAGGGGTGTCTCCTCAGACTGGGGCTCCGGCCCAGCCCCTGGCCCACTTCCCTAGGGCCTCTCTGCTGGGAAGTGTCACCCTCAGGCCCCTCTAAGGGAATCCCCTATCACCTTCCTCCAGAGCCTCAGAGGCCCCGGGCCTCACAGCCTGGTGACGTTTCTCCCAGCCTCCCGAGTTGGAAATGAGTCCTCGGGGGTGGCAGGAAGCAAAGGGCCTTGGCTCTGCTTTCCCAGCCTCGGTTTAAGGAACAAAAGAAAGCCAAGCTCCAGGCTGCTGAGCAGACAGCTGAAGGGTTTTATGCTCTTTTGGGGGGAAAATTTTGACTGGTGGAGGCATTTTTTTTCTCTCTTTGAGCTCTCCTAAAGTAGAAAGCGGAGGAAAACCACGTAAGGTCTGCTTTAGTCTGGACTGGTCAGTGCTTCATGGCTTGGGCCCTGCTTGGGATGAAGGCCTCACAGGCTGTTCTGGCTGTGTGCCACTGGAGGCCTCTCTCTCTCCCTCCCTCTCTCTTTCTCTGAGGCAAGAGTGCCCAGTACGGCAGGTGAGGGTTATCGGGGACCTGGCAACTGTGAGGGTGTCTTGGGAGATGAATAAAGGTTTCTGTGGGCCTTTGGCATCCCATGGGAGTCTGAGGGTCTGATGAGAGCTCAGTGCCCCCTTCAGGTCAGGGTAGGGCCTGGCTTCTTGGACCAGCCAGGGTAGAGGTGGCTCGTCAGTCCTTTCTCACCCATGAGCCTGGGCTTTCTCAGAAGAAATGTCTGCTCTGACCAGCACAGGCCGGTGAGGACTGACCCAGGTAGCACATTAAAGCAGCCCTAGACTGTACCGAGCCCCATTTTATAAGTGGGGAAACTGAGGCATGAGATAGCCACGTCAGCCGCGCAGAGCCGGGATGTGATCCTGCTTGCCTGTCTGTAGCCGGGGGTTGGTTGGGGCATGAAGGCTCTGAGTGTCGCCCTGGGCAGCCCTGGCTGTCCTGTCTGGTTTTGGTTTTGTTTTCACCGTGTAGCCCAGGTTAGCCTTTAATCTGTGGCGGTCCCCTCGGCTCAGCTTCCCATGTGCTGGTATCACCAGCGTACGTCGCCACGCCTGGTTTACTCGGTGCCGGGGAGCCAACCCAGAGCTCTGGGTGTGCTAGGCTGACACCACCCACCGGCTCCTTCCTGCGCTGCTGGTCCCTCATCTCCGTGTTCCTCTGCACTCAGCCTGCACTGTTCGGGACTCGGGCTCTGGGTGGGTTGAGACGGAGAGTATCGGTCCCTTCCCTGGAGGGGCCCAACATGGTGGAGGGGCAGGGGTACCCACAGACTCTCCGGGTGGACCCCTGCCCTCTGGAGACAGTCTCCACCGGGCTGTGTAGCCTCCTGATGGTGTGTGTGGAGGGACAGCACTCTACAGAACAGGGTTCCCCAAGCCTCAGCTTCCGCCTTGCAGCTGGGACCACGTCCACCCAGTGCTGACTTGGCAGGGAGGCTCCAAGGGCTCTCAGGGTCCTTCACCCTCATCCCTCATTAGCCAACTCCTCCTCTTCCAGCCTAAGTCTTGGATCCATGAGTGAACTCTGTTTTGTTTGTTGGTAGCTGGGTCCCATGTAGCCCAGGCTACCTCAAACTCACTATGTAGCTGAGGATGACCTTGAATTCATGATCCTCCTGCCTCAACCTCTTGAGTTCTGAGATCATAGGGCTGCTACACCTTGTCTGGGCTTTTGGAAACAGGATTTAACCCATGTGCCCTAGGCTGGCCTTAAACTCCATCCTCCTGCCTCAGCCTCCCAAGCACTTGGATTATAGATGTGGGTCATAATCAGACCAAACTCAGCTCTGGTCTTGACCTTAGAGGGATCTTGTGTCCCCTTGGAGGAGTCACTCGCTGATTACTCAGTGAGGAGCCATTCATAAATTCTTCCCTATGCACAGGACTAGGGAATTGGCATCCTGGGAGACCAAAGGCTAAACAGACACTTTCTGGTGGGTCATATTTATCATTCATTCATTCATTTCTTATTTTTGAGGGACAGAGAGGTGATAGGAGGAAAGGTCTAAGAAGGGCTGATTTCTGAGGCTTACTAAGATTTGGCTAATGAGAATGACCAGGGTCCAGAATGCCATGGTGCCACTCTGAAGGCACCGTGGCTATCGTGTGGATGGGGAGCACTTCAGATGGTAGGAAAGCAGGGCCTGGAGCAGCCTCAGGGCCTCCCAGCATCTTTTTTTATTTTTTATCTTTGAAGACAGGGTTGCATGTAGCCCAGGCTATTTTAATTCACTGCATAGCCCCAGGGTGACCTTGAACTCCTCAGTCCCATCTCCCTCTCCTCTACCCGAGTGCTAGAGTGAAGACATGTGGCACCCTGCATGGTTCCCGGCATTTAATGAAGTTGATCAAGTGTGCTGAGGAAACCTTCTTCCCTTTCCATGTGTCTAAGGCTGGGAGGGAGGCTGTCTCCAGGCTCAGCACCAGCCTTAGGCCCCGACACCTCGCCCCTTCCATCCCTGCTGATTTCTGTTTTCTCTCCTCTTTCAGGAACCTTTTGGACAAAGACATGTTTTCCAAGTCTGACCCATGTAAGTCCTGCTCTGACAGAAGCAGCCTGATAACTAGGTGTTGGGGTGTCTGGGACAAGAAAGCCTCTGTCTGTGAGCCCCAGCTTTGGCTGACAATAACCTTGGATAGGTCTCTGGCCTCCGCAGAGCCTCAGTTTCCCCATCAGTGAAGAGGAGCTGGTGGTAGTAATAGGCCTCATGGGATTGTTTAGGCTCTGAAAGGGACATTCTCACCATACCCGCCACTCAGCCCACCATCACGCCCACCTGCCTCACACCTAGGACCCTTTCCATGGTGGAGCAATTGATGGCCCTTGAGTTCCCTCCTAAGAGACAGGCCGAGGTCCCAGGCCCCTTCGCCAAGCCAACTGCCAGGTGGCACTGTGTAGAGGCCCACTGTGGAGCGGGAGACGTAACTCCATGGCAGGGTGCTTGTCTAAGGATCCGAGGCCAGTCTCAGCACTACAGAAACAACTGACCCATGGCGGTCTAGGCCAGGCTCACTCACCAAGACCCCAGCCACCTCAGTATAGGGCCACCCTTTCCCCAAACCCAGCTGAGCAGCGTAGGCTGAGGCTCTGACCGTCCCTCTTGGCCTGAGATAGTAACTATGTTTTTGTTTTTGTTTTTTCTTTTTTCCCCCCAGTGTGCGTCATGTACACGCAAGGGATGGAGAACAAGCAATGGAGGGAGGTAGGTGCCGCCCCTTGGCCACCCAGGGAGCACCAGTGTGCCGTTGGTTCCTCTGTGGGCACCCCGCCCGCAGCACCAGAGGCTGGCAGGGCCAGCAGAGGGTGTGGAGACTGAAGACGGACCAGGCTGGGCCTGTTCTCGGGGAGCTCTGGTAGAGGGGAAACTCGGCTACGTTGTTTGCTTTGCTTAACCGAGACAACAGCTCAGAGGAAGGAAGATTGGTTTCGGCTCACATTTCGGGGCGAGGGGCCTGTCTAGCGATGGCTGCTTGGTCTCATGCCCTTGGTTGGGGGGGGCATGCGGTAGGGAAGCTATTCTCCTCATGGAAGACAGGAAGGAGAGAGCACCCAGGGGCACAGCCCCACTGGCCTGCGTCCTCCACTCCACCCCGGCACCCAGGAACTCCATAGGTGACCTGTATTCAGGGGCTTCCACCGCTCACTCAAAAGCAAAAGAAATCCATCCATTAGCTCAGAGCCCTGGTGATTTTACTGATAATCTCTGGAAACTCCCTTCCGAGAACACCTAGAAGCTTGCTTTACGCCGAGCAGCGGTGGCGCACGCCTTTAATCCCAGCGCTCAGGAGCCAGAGACAGGAGGGTCTCTGTGAGTTCAAGGCCAGCTTGGTCTACAGAGCAAGTTTTGGGATAGCTAGAACTTTAAAGAGCAGCCCGTGTCGATAAAAGAAGAAGGAGGAGGAGGAGGAAGAGGAGAGATGTGATGGGTTCATAAACTGCTATGGCTGGGGTCTGGCTAACAGCTCACATACTCTCGCGCCGTCTCCCTGTTGTCCCGGTGCCGAGTGTGTGGCTTCTCTGTACTGACTCTATCCGCATCTCTTTAACACTATAGCCACCTGGCCCACGGCTTCAAACGTGCTTCTTTTCTGGCCGTGCTGTGGTTCCCAGATCTTTCTGCCTGCTTCTTGCTTCTAGCTCTCCCTGTAAACCTGGCTAAAAGCAGCCAGCAGTGTCCATGCCCTGGCCCGGATGCTGTGCTGTCTTGATATCTCCTCCATCACATTGACGGGTCTATCGCTTTCAACCCCAGCCTTTCCCGAAGTCTCAGAACATGGACAAGGTTCCCACAAAGTCCTGGCCGGAACAGGCTTGTGGATGGCTCTTTACCTGAAGTCCCACGAGCCTGGCCTTGACTGGCATTGCTATCGGTCTTCCGGGCTCCCAGCAGAACTGTCAGTTACAGCATCCTCGAGCCTCTTGTGACATTCCCAGCTCCGTCCACAGGCAGGAGGCTTGAGAACCATGGTAGTTTAGTCACCCGCTTCTCTGGTACCGATTTCTGTATTAGAACTAGTTGCATAACTGTTGAGCATACCCGAGGAAGTTCACTTATGGGGGGTGGAGGAATTGTTAACTTTTGCTCATGGTTATAGAGGGTTCGGTCCGTGCTTGCTTGTCCCCCTGCGTTTGGGTAGGAGAGGAGCTTGTGAAGGGAGAGGCATGGTGAATCGAGAGAAGGAGGAAGGGGTCCCTGGGCGAGATAGAACCTAGGGCTGGAGAGGTTAAGGGCACCCGCCACTCTTGCAGCGGCCCCGAGTTCAGTTCTGAGCAACCGCACCAGGCAGCTCACAACTATCTGCAACTCTAGCTTCAGGGGTTCGGATGTCCTCTTCTGTGGGCCTTGTACATGCCCCCACACGGATGGCACACGGGTCTCCTCCTGCCTCAGGGCCTTTGTATGTGCTACCCACCATTCTCTTCTCTTACACCCCTGTGCCCCCTCCACAGTTTCTTCAGATCCTGACCCCTGGGCCACCCATCCTAAGGCGTTTCCCAGAGTAAGGCCTCTATCTCCATCTCACACACACCCTTGTCGCTTGCTTGTTGGTTGGTTTGGTTTTTTTTTAACCATCAATTCTAGCATCAGTATTTATCTTGTCACATGTCAGTTCCACAGGCCAGGGGATTTCCACGCTCTCTGCCTGCTGTACCTGGCACAGCACCCAGCACACGGCAGGCACTCAAGGAAAGATCAGGAATGGTTTAGGCTTGCAGGATATAGTCGCTGCTGTCTTTCCCCCTCCTCGGCCTCCTTGCCTTCACTGGGCTCCCAGGCCTTCAGATGCAGAGGAGATCAAGCTAGAGGAATACGATGGTGGAGACGAATGTCCCCCTCAGGAGGCCCCATCTTCCTCGTTTGACACAAGAGCTGCCCCTCCTGACTCTTGACAAAGCAGGGCAGAATCGAGGAGTGGAGGGAAACATTACTTTCTTTCATGCTGGGAACGTGCAGTTCCTTTGGCCTGCTGCTAAGGGACTGAGGGACTTCCAGGGACTGTCCAGGCTGTCTGAGGTGGCTGAGGGTCGAGTCTGTTACTGCTGCTGTTGCTGCCGCAAGCAGGCTAATGAACAAGACCGGAAAGGGTTGGCTGGGGCTGCAGCCTCATGGCCCTGGCCATCTCACCTCATCGCCCTGTCATTGGCTCCTAGGAAGGAGGTATGGGGGGCGGGACCTCTGCATAGAGACTGCCTGGCACCTCCAAAGAGAGAAGGAAGCCCAGGCTCCCAAGGTCCTGACGTGATGGAAATGTCCATCATGAAGCCGGATTTAGCGGAAGCCGAGGGCAGGGGGTGTGAACCGAGTCTGAGCAATGGTGCTCCTTCCGCCGAGGCTGGCTGGCGTGTGGCTCTTCCCTCCCTAAGACGAGAAAGCCGCTGAAGCGTGAAGCACACTGCTAGGGAACCGTTTAGGCCGCATAAGTGGACTAATTACTTCTGAGGCCTTTCGGCGGAGCTTCCAGTGCGGAGCGCAGGCTCGGTGATTCATTAGCGCGAGTCTGGAAGGACTCTTGAGAAGGGCTGCTCTGGCAGACTGTTAATTACATGCTGTAATTGAAAACCATCTCCGTTAGGTCCAGGGCCTCCAATTGCCCAGGCTTCTTTGGGGTTCTCCCCCCAACACCTGCACCCCCCTTCTTGCCCAAAAGCACACAAGCAAGGCAGGGCCTGGGCACACTTGAGCTTTGCTTGGGGCTCCAGGCCTTTGTGGAGGTGGGGCCCAGATTGGGTTCCAGAGAAGATGAGGATATGGCCTGTGCTGGAAAACAAGATGGCGGCAGGGGAGATCCCTCGTGCCTTACACAACAGTCACCATAGAACGCTGGCCTAAGGCCAGGCCTTGCTCTGAGGTGGCTCTCTGCCTGTTAGTGAACATTTGGAACAACAGCATATGTGGATGCCAGACAGCCATTTACCAGGGGTAGGGGAGCAGGAAAGGTGAGGGCGCAACAGAGCAAGTGTGAGTGGGGACTCACAACTGAGTGTGTGTGCGTGTGTTTCTGGAATTTGAGGCTAGCCTGGTCTACATAGTTCCAGGACAGCCAGGGCTGCATAATGGGATGACCTTTGTCTCACAAAACAAAGATTATATTTATTTGGGTTGGGGGAAGGGCATGTATCCCATGATGCTTGGCTGTGTACACACGTAGCTGTATCCATATGTGTGCAGGTATGTACACACTGTTACACATATGTGGCAGTCAGAGGTCTACTTGGGACTGGTTTTCTTCTTTCACCGTGTAGGTATCAGGGACCAAGCTTAGGTCGTCTGACTTGGGACAGGCGCCTTTACCCAGTGAGCCCGGTGTTTTGATGTCTTGAGACACCATTTGAATCTAATGTAGAAACCGTGGTTCAAGGAACAGAATGTGAGCCAAAGACCCTTCGGCACCCTCTGGCTCTGCCCCTTGGCTGGCCCCAGGCCATGAAGGCAGTCTTGGTTGGAGAGATCACTGAGATTTGTCTAGAAACGCTGGGTTCCAAGGAAGTTATAACGCAAGCACACAGGAGCAAAAGTGAATGGTTGTGGGGGCAAGAAGACGAATGAGCAAGCCCATCCAGGCCGTGTGCCCTTGGGGAATTGCTGTAGGCAATAAGAATGGGTGCTGGGCTATATAATATTATTATTATTTGCTCTATAATTATTTCGGCAGGATTGTTTAACCCGCTATCGCAATCAATAAGACACAGACACCTGTTAGATTTTATAATTGCCTTAAAACACTTGGGCCACATAGATAACTCCATCTCCGCTGTCTCAATAACCTCACCATCCACCTCCCAGCCCCCATCCAATGCCATCCGCCTTAACCACCCTCATCTGGTCTACCTTCCATCCATAATCTTATAAATAATTGCTTGTATTCTTCATCTGGGCCTTTCCACGCCATTGGAGTCCTTCCTCCCAGCCCATGTCATTTCTTCTCCATACTAACCCATCCTGGCTCCCTCCTTCCTCCTCCCTTACTGTCTGTCTGTCTTCTTCCCATGATTCTCCTCGTCCCAAATCCCCGGAACCTTAGCCACACCTACCACCTTCTGCCCCGCCCAGGTTTTAGTCCTTTTAATCAACCAATCAGGAATAATGTCTTAGGCAGGTTTACACAACAAGGATAGGCTGTATCCAGGCAGTACCCAGGTCTCGAGGGACGGTAAATAGCATCAAAACACAAACATCAGACCAACCCCCAACAGGGAATGTAATAAAGGGGTGGAGGGCCCAAGAGACGCCGTTGGCTGCTCTGAGGAGGACTTGGGCTTCATTCTCAGCACCCACGTGGCAGCCGCAAGCACCTCTACGGTCACGTCTGGTGGAATCCGCTGCTCTCTTGGCCTCTGCGGGCTCCTGCACATAAACTCACAGAGATGCACACACACCCAGAGCCCTCCTCGCTAGCTTCACTGTGTGACTCCATTCCATCCATGCCCTAGGAAGGGGGAGGGCCTTCCCAGCAGACAGGAGCCAGCTTGGCCACCGCACCTTCGGGTGTGTTGCCCGGAGGGGGCAAGGCGTCCCCTCTGACCATGCTGGAACCTTGGATGTGGGCTAAGCCTCCTGTGACCAGGAGGGCCTAGGGGGTCCTGAACCTGCCCACCAGCAGCCCATCCTGGGAAGGAGGAGGCTGTTGTCCCAGGCCCCGCCCGTCAACTTTTAGCTGATTTCTACCATTCGGGTCATTTTTATGCCTTCCGAGAAAGCCC